CCTGGATCACGTGAGGCCAGAAGAAAGAAGAGGGAGCCTGGAGGATGGGATAGGGACAATGCCAACGGGCTGAGGACCAACACGGACCACTCCTATCTTCCCCCAGGAGGCCTAAGAGTGCAGAGCTCCGGGGTGCCCAGGAGGGTCTGGGCAATGAGTGTACTGTGAATTAAGCACTTACCAGAAAGAAATCAGTTTCCATTTCCTCCCATCCACCAAGATTAGTTGGCATAACCTCTAATTTACTTGGGGCATTTAATTCTGCAATTAGAGCATGAGAGGGAATGCCTATTGGGGGTGGTTCCAAGAAGTCCGAGGAGGAAGATGAGAACGGTACCCCCTCCTCCCTGGCCCCTTGGCTTACACTGGAGGCGAGGGGTTAGCTGTTGCAGCCACCAGCAAGACAAGCTCTTTGTAGAGAGGTCTTGGGAGCCTGGGGCACAAGCACTTAAGCTTCGGGACCTTGGTTCATAGGGCCCCTGTGTTGGGGAGGATGGGACTACGGGAGCATGAGGAGTCACCCCAGGGCCTGCATGCTAGCTTCTCCACAAGGGCCATCATCAAGGAAGCATGGCGGGGATCGGGGGGTGGAGTTGGTGGGGCATTCCCTCAAGTAGCCTCGTGGCCTTTGGCAAATTCTAGGACAGGAACAGGTAAGCATGACAGATGGCCAGTGGGACGGCAGTGGATAGGCTGGGCTGGGAGCAACGTCACATCCCTTTGGTAGATTCTCGGAAACCCTTGTCAGCGGGGCAGTGAGGTGACATTTCAAGGGGCTTTGGCTGAGAAACTGACAGGGTAGCAAAGGACAAGGACAGGGATTTTAGGGTTTGGGCCAAAATAATATTGTCTTTTGAATCATGAGCTGGCCAGGCCTGGCGACTTCTGGGCCCAGTGACCCATGGGGATCTTATGACAAGGAAATGGGATCATACATATCTGAGGAACCAGTTCAGTATTTGGCCCAAGGTAAGGTCCTCAAGTATTTGTTTTATCTCAATCACAGAGGAGTTCAGGTCCTCGATTCACCCAGGTGAAGAATCCATCTAGAACACGGCAGAATTGAAAGATGAAAGGTATAGAAGAGTCCTTTGTCTCAAATAGCTGGAGACCCAGCAGAAGGTTTAATGCATTTCCTGTTGGCTGTGGGTAAGTCACTTAACCTCTCTGGGCTTGGTTTCCTCATCTGTGAAAGGAGGGAGTTGGTTCAGCTCCTCGGCAGCACCCCTTTCACATCATCTACGAAGAAACAGAGGCCCCAGAAGACGGGTCCGTAGGCCTGGCTGCCGCTGCCCAGGCTTTTCTGATTGGAACCTTCTCTGCGGGTGCTGCAAGCTCTCAGGCCTGAAGTTGGGGAAGAAGGAGCCATCCTCTGTGCGATGGCTGCCTTGTCATTGTCCCCCGTGATTCAGGGGAAATTGAGGATTCCAGACGCAGATCGTAAATCAAAGCCTGGACCATCAATCTCCCGGAACAGACTGAAGTAACAAGGTGGGTGGCACAGACTACCACTGCATGGACAGGCAAGAGATATTAAAAATCTTGAGCCCCCAAGTCCCTTAACCAATTTCCAAATACCCTAGGGTTCTGCCTGCTTGAGGGGAGAAGAGGGAATGCCTCATTTTAGATTTCCCAGGAGGGTTTGGGGGTTCTATTTCAGGAAAATCCTCCTTTTGAAGGCCTTACCCCTGCCATTGTCTTCCCTAGCTCACTCCACCTCCTGTTCCTTCCTGCAGGCACCCCACCAGAGTCAGGTTACCACACATGGACTTAGAGGAGTGGTTATCATGTGGAGCCAGACTGTTCATCAAATCCTGGCTTCAGCCCTGGCCAGTGTGCTCAGTGGTTAGAGTGTCAGCCCTTGCACTGAAGTGTTATGGTTTCAATTCCCCGTTAAGGGCACGTACCTGGGTTTCAGGTTCGATCCCTGGCCCTGGTTGGGATGTGTGTGGGAGGCAACCAATGGATGTGTCTCTCTCATGTCAGTGTTTCTCCTCTCTTCCTTCCTTCCCTTCCCCTTTCCCTCTCTCCCTCCCACCGTCTCTCTAAAAATCAATGGATAAAATATCCTTGGGTGAGGATTAACAACAAAAAAAATTTCTGGCTCCATTGCTCACCAGCTCTGCAAACCTGGGTAAGTTGCCTAATCGCTTTGGCTCTCAGTTTTCTGGTCTGTTAAATGGGAATAGTAATACCTACTTCATGGGGTTGTTTTAAGAATTATAAAAATAATCCATACAAATAGCACAGTACCTGGCATAGGATAAGATCTCAAACATTAGCAGTTAATATTAATCTTCCTATTATCCCACAAGTAGGCTCCACTGGACTGCTGTTCCCTCTCTCTCACAGGCTCTGCTGCTCTTTTGCCTTTTTATACCTTATCCATCCCTCCAGCCTCAGTTTAACCACCTCCTCCAGGAAGCCTTCCCTGAATGACTCTCCAAGGCTCCATCTTCCTCTGACTTTAAAGGCTACATCCTAGTATTTTAGACTCAATCATGTTTTCAACAACTGTTCTTTGAAGCTGCATTGTGTGGGATAAAAATTCCCTGAACAAAAACCTCTGCTTCTGCATTCTCTTCCTCTCTTAACACTTGCCACAGTATAATGCACACAGTAGGTGCTCCAAAACAATTATGCTAGTCAACTGGGAGATTCCAGGAAACGAAACCGAATCCCCGTGTTCCCAAGATGAGGCTTTTTGTCTATTTTTAGAGTTTAGATGTTTCTTAAAAATATTTTTCCAAATTCCACTCTGTCTTTACATTACAACCACACCAATCTTTTCATGTCAGCCAGATGTACATTTCTTCCCCTCCACCCAAAATACACCCGAGTTTGAAAAATGAGGCGCTGGATCTGAGAGCACGAGATAGAGAAAGTGTTCTCTAAACCCTGCCTATTCTCGTCAGGCTGGAGACTGGGAGGAATTAGCTCTGGGTGAAAGGGAAGGTTCTGATGGCTCAGCTCCGGGCCGTTGGAGGGACAAATGGGACTTTGAAACATGGAGGCCTTGCTTCTGGAGGGTCAGCCCTCTTGTTAGGCACCCCAGAGCATGCCCCAGGGGACAGGCGGGGAAACACCTGGTCACCTTGAAGGCAGGAGTGAGGACTGGCCCTCCTACCCTGTCTGCGGTTGGTGGAGGGTGGGCAGGGCTGGGGCCAGGTTCCTGCTGTCACGGCAGGAAAATACTGGCTCACACTCTGGCTTGATGGGAATCCACTGCTGGGTGGGTAGTGGTGGTGGTAGTTTATAAGTGCAAATTTAAAAAAATATATATTTTATTGATTTTTTACAGAGAGGAAGGGAGAGGGATAGAGAGTTAGAAACATCGATGAGAGAGAATCATTGATCAGCTGCCTCCTGCACACCCCCTACTGAGGATGTGCCCGCAACCAAGGTACATGCCCTTGACTGGAATCGAACCTGCGACCTTTCAGTCCATAGGCGGTCGCTCTATCCACTGAGCCAAACCAGTTTCGGCTATAAGTGCAAATTTGCAATTGTCACCAGGATAAATGACCATTTGGTCTGGTGGGACCCTGGAGGCAGGAGCCTTCGTCCCACGTGGTTCTGGGTGTCTGCAGAGACTTGATGTCCCCAGGACTGAGTCCTCCAGAGGAACCCAAAGGCCACGGTCTCCTCTGGGGGAGCGAGTGAACACTGGTTCCCGGCTTCCCTGCACACCAGCCAGCCCACAGCAGAAACAAGGCCGCAAATTATTAAGCACTCATCATGTGCCAGGCACTGTGCTGAGTGCTTTACGTGTATTCCCCCCCCCCCCCCCCCGTACTGTACAGTAACCCTGAGAGGTGAGGACCAGCGTCTCCATCTTCCAGATTAGGAATCACTGCTGAGGCGGCCAGCCCCGCAGTCAGACCTGGAACTCACTGTGTCCCCTCCAGCCCAGGGGCCAGTGACCAGATGGTGTCTCTGCCCCTTTGCCAGTGCTCCTCCTCCACCGCACTCTGGGAGGCCAGGGGTCCGTTTGTCTTGTCACCCACGAGCCCCTGGTGCCCATGCAGGCCTGGCCTGTGGGAGATGCTCAGTCAATATTTATTTATGCAGAAAAACAGAGGCCTGAGGTGCTCAGCCTGCCGGCTGTGCCGCCAGGTCTCCCTTCCTAGGGACAGCAGCGGCTCCTGACTCCCACCCAGGGGGCCAGCGGTGGTCCTCAGGAAGGGGGTGGGCGGCGGGGTGCGGGACTGGCCTGGAATGCCAGCAAATCCACTCTAACACCCCTAAACCACCTCCCTTCCCCCCCTTCCCCCCCCCCCCCCCACCCTGCCCAAGAGGCGCAACTGGAGTCAGTCCTTCCCATACCTGGGAAGTGACAGGGCGGGGGCTGGGCTGGGGTGTGTGTTGGGGTGTTGGCGCTAAAGGTTCTGGGGTCTGGAGTTCCTCCGGCCGGACTGGGGGGTGGGCACTCGGTGCGGGGTGGGTGGGAGGGCAGGGGAAGAGGTGCCAGGGCGCAGCCTGTGTCCTCGCCCGCCGGCCTTCCAAAACCTGGGGTGTGGGTGTGGCTCCCCTCGCGCGGGGCGGGTGGGGGCCAGCACCGTAGCTGGCCTGCGGAGGGGGTGCCCGCAGCGCTGGTGGCTGGGGCCGGGCGGGGGTTGGGGGACGGTAGCGGGCAGCACCGCACGGGGAGCGGAGGGCGCGCTGGCTGGCGGGGTGGGGAGAGCAGGGGGCGGGCTGCCGCCGAGGGGCGGGCGGCTTTGGGGGGTGGAGCCGGGACCGCAGCTCCAGCTGCTGCGATCGGCGCTGCCGTAGCCGCTGCCGCCGCCGCCGCTGCTCTGAGCTCGGGACTCGGGACTCCGGGCGGGCGGCCGGAGCTCGGCGAGGCTCCGGCGCCGCGGCTGCTGCTCTCCTCCAGCGCCCAGGGCTGCGGCGCTCCGGGTCCCTGCCGCCGGCCCCGCGCCCCTCCGTTCGGGTCCTGGGTCCCGCGCCTTGCCCCGGAGAAAGCGCTCGTGCCCTCGGGCCATGGAGGGGGGCCCGTGAGGGGAGCGGAGGAGGAGGAGGAGGAGGAGGAGGAGGAGGAGGAGGAGGAGGAGGAGGAGGAGGAGGAGGAGGAGGAGAGGGAGGCCGCGGAGGAGTGCGCGGGAGGTGCAGGATGCCGTCGCCGCCGCTGCCGCTGCCGCCCGCCGACCCGGGGCGAGCCTGACTCCGGACCCGAGGATGGAGCCTGCGCTGGGCGCTGCGGCGGCTCCCAAGGCGCCCCCGACCAGGTACCGGCCGGCCCGGCTGCTCCCGGGGCGGGCGGGCGGGCGGGCGCCGACACTCGGTGCAGCAGCCGGGAGGGCGCGGGAATAGCGGGAGTAGCGGGAGTAGCGGGAGACGCCCCTCTGCTCGGGGACTGTGGCTCCGGGCGGTGCTGGGCGCAGGACGGCCCCGGCTAGCGGCGGGTGAGCCCCGCGATCGCCCCGGCCCTCCCGCCCCCGCCGGGAGAGAGGACAGCAAACTTGAGACGCGCGGCAGGCGGCCGAGGAGAACTCGGGGGCTCCCTGTCCCGCAGCCTGCCCGCCTCTGGGCTGCAGAGGCGCCTGGAGACCCCGAGGTCCCCACATCTGCACCAACTTTCCAAACCTGGGCTGCACTCAGAGCCCGGGGGCTGCCCCTCCCAGTCCCGGCTCCGCACCCCCACGACCACTTTTCCGTGGGCACCCCGGGCCCGGGGATGGTGCAGGGACACCCTGGGAAGCCAGAACCAGCTCCCACGCTTCCCCCGCAGGACTCGGGGGCATCCTACCCGGGCTCTAGGAACCCAATGCCAGCTTTCACAGTAACAGCCCAGAACAGCCTGGCCCGGAAGCCAGGGGTAAGACCCGAGGGTCCTCCTGGGGTGGCATCTCGGTGGCCTGATTGGCTATGCCACAGGGTGACCCTGCCCCCATCCCAGTCCTGCCCTTTCCCGGGACTGACTCCTCGCTGGTGCAGGTTTTCCTCCGTGGCTTTAAATGCTGCTCCTAAAACCGAGGCTCCTAAGAGGGGCCTATGGGAAGTCCAGGTGCCGTTGACGGAGAAGTGGAGGCAGGAGACGGGAAGGTGGGTGCCCAGTCAAGGACAAACACCGAGCCCAGCATCTTTCTGAGGGCTGGTAAGGGCAGGGGGCGGGGGGCAGGGGGACCGAGGACTGTGGCCAGGAGGTGGGCACCCTGGCTGGGAAGGTAGCTGCTTTGGAAGCGGTAGGTAGAGGAGGCAAGCAGGTGGGGACCGAGTACAGGTACCTGCCCCTCGAGGTTCCTCACCCCCTCCAGTAGGGCCGGGGCCTCGGGCAGAGAGCTTCCCGGGGCAGGTCGGTCCCAGACTCCAGTCCTCAGCGGCCGGGGACATTCGCAGGCATCACCGTGACCCTGTTTCTTTTCTAAGCGCTCGCACTCACCGTCGTGACTCACACTCTGGATTCACCAGGGAGGTATCAAGCCTCAGCCTCTTTTCTTCCCTTCCCTCCCGGGTCTCCACGGAGCTGCAGCCGGGAAAGGAGGGGGCAGATTTGGGCTGCAAACTTTCATTTCTCTGCTGTTGTCACAATCAGGGCAAGTGAAGGGCCATTGGTGAGGCCAGGGTGGAGGGCAAGTGAGAGGAAGTCTCTGCTAATGATCCCTGTAACCCTGTGGTGGTGGTGGTGGTGGGCGTAGGGGAGGGAAGGTAGTCTTTCAAATCATGACCAGTGCCTGCTCCCAGCACATAGGCTAACACCCAGCCTCATCATCTCCATGCAGAAAGACATTTCCCCCCTAAATTCCAAATTTCCCTCTTTGCTGAATGTTGCAAAGCTCTTGGCCAGAGGTTTCCTCCTTGGCATCTGAAGTCAGGCTCCTGTTGTAGACAGCTTCCCTTCTCCTCAGCCGCGCCCCCCCCCCCCCCCCCCCCCCGCCATTTGAGGTCCTCATTAGGAGGAATGTAGAGACCCCTTACCTTCTGCCCCCCCCCCCCCCCATAGGGCCCTAGTTCCATGGGCAGGCTGGTGGGGATGGTGCCGATGTTGGGGTGTGTGTGCCAGCTGTGCACACATGGAAGAGGGCGTACATCTGTGCTCCACTGAGTCTGCGGGGGACCCAGATGTTAGGCTCACTGGGGGGGCCAGGCTTACACCCCCTTCTCCTTGCCTACTTCCCTGTCTTCCTCCCTTGCCCACTGTGTCTCTCTACTTTTCCAACTCACTCTGCATTGGTGTGGGGAGGGAGCATTTGATATTCATAATCTGGTTCAGAGAAGGTCCCGAAGCCCTGAGTCACTGTATGGTTTCCATGGAAACAGACTTGTTCAGAGGACTCGGTGTAGTGCGGTGGTGATGGGGAAGAGGGAAACATATAGTAAAATCAGGCTCCACAAGTGTGGCAGGAGTTGGATCAACTCCCGTCAAGGGGGCCAGGGAGAGGCTGGGCAAGGCTCTGGGGGCCCCATGGGAGGGGCTGCTTTTCCCACCCATTGGGGTCTCCCATCAGGAGCTGCTCATCTCCCCTGTGGCTCTTGGCAGGCTGCTGCTTCTTCCTTCTGTCTAGGCGCTAAGGCTCCTAGCTGCTACTCTATGCCTCAGTTTCCCCCCTCTGTGAAACAGAGAAAAGAGCGCCTACCCCAGGGCTTGCTGTGAAGGTCAAACATGTTGCTATGAACAACACACTGACTGGAGCCATAGGAAGTGTTCGTAAGTGCCATTTTTACCAGCTCAGGGCGTTGGAAGACACTCCCCCAGCACATTTATCTGGAGCCATCCTCTGTGTCCTGGTAGGTGGTCTTGACATCTGGCAGGCCCGGCCCCCTGCTTTGCAAGAGCCGCCCTCAGCAACCCGGTGCCCCCCCCCCCCCCCCTGCCCTGCTGGGAGCCAGCCGTCCATTACTCACTCCCACGGAGCATTTATTTAGGTGGCTGGGGGCCTGGCACCATGCTGGGGAGCCCTGGCCCCCGCTGAGACCCCACCTGTCTAGGAGCTGTATGGGAACGAGTCCAAGCCCTGGTGAATGGGCAGTTTCTTGCCTTAGCTCGAGAGGGGAGGAGAGTCCCAGCTCTGAGGACAGAGAGAAGGGATGGGGGCCACTTTCCTTGATCCTGGAGAGGCCAGTTCATTTGGCTGGAGAGGCATCTCCCTCTTGATGACCTGACCAAGTGGGATCAGGAAATCTCAGAAAAGTAACAAACCCTAACCTCCTCCCCAACTTCCCCTGCTCAGGTTAAACCTCTATCATGTAAGTGTTCCCAGCATACTACACAGGTCTGGACAGGCTCAGCGCTCCAGCCTGTGCCACCAGCTGGTGGGGAGAGGGGCCTGCCCACTGCTGCTGCTTACCTAGGGCAGTGGCTCCAGGGCACTCTGGGTCCTAGTGATGGCTCAGCCAGCGTCTCCCTCATCAGCCCTCTCCATGCTGCCCACCCCTCCCGGGCCTGCAGACAAGCCCTGCTCTTGGTGTCACTGCTTCTCTCCTCCTGTAAGATGGGCTTCAGCTCCAGGCTCCCATCACTGCCAACTCTTAAAGCTGCAGAGCATCCTTCCTGTCCACCAGCCCCATTTTACAGATAGGAAAACTGAGATTCTTGAAACCGGTTGCCTGCTTGGCTAACCATGGCCGCTCCCAGCTCCACACAGCTTTGGGATGCCCTTCCCTCTTCCCTGGCTCTCCAGGTAGCCCCAGATGCTGGCCAGCACCCCGCTTCCCTCTCCCCAGACTCTCAGTTTCCTGCCAAGTTCTCCCCCCCAGCACCCAGGCCTCTCTGAACTGTTCTGCTGTCCTGGTTGGTGTTCACAACACCTTCCAATGTAATATCCTCTGCAGATTTCATTAACGGACTGTTTACTCCCTCTCTCAGGATCATTAATGAAGATGTTAGATAAGATCTGACCCAGGCTGGGTCTCGGCAGCCCTGCCCCCGCTTCCAGACTCTGTCCCTCCGTCCCTCCTCCTGTACTCGCCTCCTCCACTTGGGACCCTTGGGACCCACCCCCTCCTGCTTTTGGCCACATGACAAGTGCTTAGGGCCAAGACTGCTTGAATTAATTTTGTAAGATTACTCGGGGCGCTATATCAAATGCTTTGCTAAAAATCAAGATATATTACCCTGCCTGCATTTCCTTCATCTACCAGTCTTGTAATTCTATCACAAAAGCTATCAAGTTTGTCAGGCATGATTTGTTCATTATAAATCCCCACGGTGCCACGTGGGGCGCAGAGTTCCCGCGCTTTCTCAGTGTTTAGAGATTCCCTCTTTGTGTTTGCTCCTTGATTAGAGCTGGGAATTGTCAGGATGCTTACTTGTCTCCTCCTCGGGGATGGGGAACAGGGCACAGCCCTTCTCTGCTCTGGTTCTCGGCTGGGGGAGGTAGTCTGGCGTCCCAAGATGGGCGCCAGGGATGATGGGTGGTGGAGGGAGGGCCTGGTGCTCTCCCTTATGGATTCTGCAGGCAGATGAGGCGACAGACAAGTATGATGCCAACGTTAAAAGGTATCATTCACTGAGTAATTGCGGTGTCCCAGAAGTATGCTAAGAGCATGATGGGCGAGGGGATCTCATTTAAGCCCCTCACCTGCCCCTGGAGGTGGGCTACTGGAGCTCAGAGAGAGTCAGGAACCCGAGGTCTGGGTTCCACCCACTGCTGAGTTTCCTGTAAGCACTTACGGGGTACGCACAGGATCAGGGGAGCTGCTGGGGGTGGTTCAGATCAAGGGCATTACGAGGTCAGAGGGGGAAGCAGGGAAACCTGTAGGGAGAACCTTGGAGGGTGAGGACTTCGCAGCACTTGCATGTCTGAACGCAGTTCCCACCCTGCCACTTCCAGCTGCGGGAGCAAGTCCCTTAGGCTCTGGGAGCCTCGGTCCCACACCTATGGAACAGGTCCCTGGTGAGCAGCTGCCATTATGTTTGCTTATGCAGGACCCTGTTGATGTAGGGGCAGGAATACGCATCGGTTGTCATGTTACCCATGGGTGGCTCTCCCTAAGGCTTGTCCAGGCGGCAGAGGAGTGACAGGTTGGCGTCCGTGTGACCAGAGGAGGGCTGGGGGGGGGGGGTCCCTGAGCTTAAGGAGCAGGAGACCTTCTCTGGGCCTTGAGCCCAATCCCGAGCCCCAGTCCAGACCATTCAGGCCAGGTGGCAGTAAAGACGTGCTTGGTGTCCTCTGGCTGCATAGGATCTCGGCATTCCTGGGCTCCTGGGCCATGAAAGTACCCACTCCTCCCTGGACCCTCCTAGCCAGCCCCGGAGCCCCAGGCTGCGGAGCGGAGGTGTGCTGGC